TCAATTTATAGAAACTTTCCCAGTTCTGACTAGCCTATGGCTGGACTCGCCAATATTCATCTAACTCTATAAAGCTATTATCAGACACATGACAAAAATTGACAGAGAAAGTAAAGAACTTCAACTGAGAGTTATTGTACTCTGTGAAATATAAAACATGCCTTTATGTCCAACCGAGACATTAATGCCCAGAAAATGGCATACAGATTACGTATAGTCTGCCAATTGTTGCATACAGGTAAAATTTTTTTGCACAATATATGCACAATTTTTCATTGACATGAACTTTGTAATCTATAATCTGTTTTCACCATAGCTAAGCACTCAGACAAATCAAATGTTTTTACCGATACACACACATAAATCTAACACATTTTTTAAAACATCAATGTTTCTCTCACACCAAAGATAATGCATTTCGAGTTTCCACACCTAAATTGCACCACTTCATACTTTTTAATAGAAAATTAACTTTCATAATCTGAACCACTAAGCAAGACTATCCAGATTGTTCTGAATTAAATAAACTTTTTCAGTAATGTTACATTATCAGCAAATGTGGAGAACCTAATGTTAACAAAGATATCTAAATAACTTGTATATGATGATTATGGATGAAAATATAATTTTATTCCTAACATCAAGAGTACCCAACTGATTAATTAATTATTAAAACTTTTTGCTTTATAATACAGAATACTTTGTTAGACCATTAAATTAGCTACATTACTTACTGGGTTAATTTTAGTTTTGATCTATGTAGGCAGCTTACTTTGAGTAGAAGATAATGAGTAACAAAAGTATCAAAACATGACACTTGAAACTCCCTCTGCCACATTTTTCAAATATGTATAAATCATATTAATTACCACCATATTTTCTACCAGAAAGATATTTTCCTAATAACTTTTTAATTTCTTTTTCAATAAAATAGATCTGTCAAAGAATATGTTAATTTTACTTTTTAAAAACAAAGTAGGGATAATACTTTAAATATATAAAATCACATACTGATAATAATGTTCTAACTGAAAAGAATGAAACTGGGTTTTTTCAAGGAAGTAGTTTCAAACTGAAAAGTAATAATAATAATAAATATATAATTCTATTTAATTTAACATATACTCAACACTAAATGCAGAGAACTTCAGATAACTAAAAATTATGTTTGTAATTACTGACAAACATATTCCCAATATTTTTCTATGTTATCAATAATAACCATTATATGAAACATTATCAAAGCAGAAATGTAGCTTTAATACAATAGTGCTTTATATTCAAGCATTATTTTATTTTTTACAAGTGAAGATATTACATAAACCATTTATCCCACCATTCTTGAGGTCGGCATGACATCACAGTATTGATTTTGTCTGGTAACGCAATTGACACCTTAACAAAGGGGCAAACGATAGCAAAGAAAGTACAGCAGCATATATGCAATTTATATAGTTCTACCATGTTACTGTTGAAGCTGCTGTACAAACTTTTCAATTATCATTCATATATTATTGTTTGATAGCCAAATTATCAATTGCACTGTCTTATCAATATGTGGAGAGGTTGTTGGCTGTGGCATTTGTGAGATATCGAGTAAAGTTACAATTAACTGGGCTTGTCCCATCCAGCACTCTGCCAACTCATGGATCGAAGACCCAACAGATAGGCCCAACGTGCAGTAGCTGGACGTGTACAATTACTTTGTGTTAAAAAATCTGCAGACAACATTTACATGAAACGAGCTGAATACACATAGTTCTAGTCAGACTGGCTCTCACAGTTTTACTCTTGCTTGCTGTGTTCCATGGTTGATAGCTTTCAGCTACAACATTCTTCTCTCCTTTCATTCAAATCTTGATACTTGGATTTATAGATCCTCGCTTGGCCCTGTTAAGGCCCATTTGTTGGAGTATTTTGCTGATAGTTTTTCTTCTTGTCAGTAGACCTGGCTGGCCTTGGCTTTTCGCCTTTTCAGTAGCTTGACTGGGTATCAAATAGAAGGAAAGTTCAGGTCTTTTTGGCTTGTTATTGGTGCAACTGAATATACAACAACTCTTCACCATATTTGCAGGTTTGGAACAACAAAAGTTCATCATAAACACAAATAGTTAGTATGAATACGAGTGTAGACAGTGGGAAGCGTACAGAATGAACAAAATTTTCCTTTCATCGCAATATTTCTTTGCCCCTTTGTCTCGGTTGCTTTGCAGACATTGCATTGTGTGATGGCAAAGTTCCCGGATGTCCGACCTCAAAAATGTACTCAATATATTGTTTGGTTAGATAAATGTACTTTTGTATAAAATTGTAGAAAGCTACCCATTAGTACTTATTTCTAATATTTACCCCCTTTTTTTATGTACACACTTACCATTATGTTTGGTAACACAATTTCAATACTACCACATACCAGCACGTTAAGATAGTTCTGGGAAAACTAGATAGACCATCAACATGTGCTAGCAATAATACTGATCATTCTATAAGAAATACTTGAATTAACCTTATATATAAAGTCATAAGTCAAATGATTGAAATAAAGCATCAGGTGCAGACAAGATTTTCCCCATGGCTTTAAAGAATCAAATATCAGATATGCAAGTACCTCTCTCTCTCTAGATCATTTTTGATTGATTAATAGACAAACCAGTCAAGTCACTGATGCAGTACTCTGGTGCTAGTATCCAAGCTATTTATAGACACGCTGATTACACATTAAAAGAATTAATTGTTCTCTATACAAATCATTATTTAGGCCTCACTTGGAATAATGTGTAATTTTCATCTCCATATCCAAAAAAGGATAATGATTTGTTTGAAACAGTTGATTCTGGAGATTGCAGCCTTATCTTATAAGAAAAAGCTACAATTTCTAAATTTGTTTTCTCTTGAGAAAAGAAAGCTAAGAGATGATTTATTAAGTTTACTAGATTATCCTGGAGATCAATAACAAATACATCTGATTTATTTATGTTGTATTCTGAAGGTAACTAGACAAGAGGACACAAGTTTTACACATGGAAAAAACATGCTAGGATCCACTTAACACAGTAAAATTTTTCTAAATGGTGCTCGACTTAATAGAATGAATTGCCCATCAGCAGTAGTGGAGACCAGTACTTTAACAGAGCTTAGCCCATTTTGAACCAGAAAGGTGTCACCGATATCCCTTCATTTTTTTTTTGTCACAGTAAAATTACTTAATCAAAATTAAATGAAACTTAGAAAAAATTTAATAAATAGAATCTAGTTACAGTTGAAAAAATTCATATAATTTGATTTGATATTTCTACTAATTTTAAATTGTGATACCTTAAAAAAAAACTGTTATAAAATGATGTTTTGAAAAAACACACATTAGAAATACTATTTTCCTTGAGTTATTAATTTTTTCTGTTCATCAGAAATTTCTGTTATAAATGTATCTAGACAATGTCAATTTGACTGATGTTCTTTTTTTGTCAATTGCAGTGGTCACAACTTATGGCTATAAATCATAAAAAAACAGCAAAAACTGACAAAGATTTATCAGCAAACCAGGACTTCACCTTTCAAAATGGTATCATTGTTACCATCATCAGGCTAGGTGTTATGACCTTTGGTAATAATATTCTTGCGCGAGATCAATTTATGTCTAAAAAATAGTTTATTTGCAAAACTGGGTTTCATTATTAATTGTTTAGTAACAAAACCCCTAATACAGAAAGAAAATCATGTGAGAAACAAGATATTAATAATTATATTTTCAAAGGATGATAGCTTCTTACCAAATATAAACAAACTTTGGGATGGGGAAAAAATAAGCCAATAAATGTCCTGTTTACAGGCAATAGTCCACAGAGTTGTGTAAAAATAAAAGATGTAACCTCTTTCTTTGTAAATTACAGAAAACAAATGTTACAAAATGACAAAATATTAAAATTAAATGTTTTAGGTAAAACTTGTTGAAATAGTTAAATTATTTTTTACTTTAATTTGATATGTAGGTGTGTACTCAACACCTGAAAAGCAATTAATGGTTGAAAACCAGGAAATTATGAATTCCTGAAAAATACAGGGTGGATGTGCAAAAACTGTTTTGAATAATTAATTGATTGGTCAATTAAGTTGTTAAAGTTACCACCTATGACTCTTACAATAATTATCTACTGTGACAATGAACATATAAACAGTAAGCACCTATAATTGTTTTTCTCCTTTGAAACAACATTGTCATTAGGCAAGAAAAATAATAATATAAATCATAAATATGGATCATGCAAATAGATACAATAAATACTTTGCTCCTTTTGATGATGAGGGTGAAACATATATAAAATTACATAAAAAAAAGTAAAAACTTATTCCATATGAAGATTATTCAATTGGAAAGGTTTAATGTTACAAATTTAATGTTAAGTCAGAAAGAAAGAAATGATGGATAATCTTTCCTCACCAATACAAGTATGAAATTCTAATATGAAATCCTACTGCTTTTCAATTTTCAAACTTCAGACGTAATATCAACATTCAATGACCAATGTAAAATTGTAAATAAAGGAGAAACTAGGAGGGATTATGTGGAAACTGCAACTACACTAAATTACTAAGTTCTCCATTTGTAGTGTCTCTAGAAGTAATACTATTAGTATTAGACTGAAAAGTAAATGTAGTTTGCAAGTTTAATCAGAAATGCTCATTTTTCAGGTTAAAAGTAAAAGTTAGAACAAGTTACAAAGGCAGTTTCTAACAAACTACTGGTAGTAGTAGTACTACTAGTACCAGTGGTAGTACTAATAGTAATACTATACTAAGGTCTAACTCTGGAGTCTAAGTAAATGTTAACTTTAGATAAATCACAACCTAGCACTAGGGCTCAGGACTAAGGATTCATTTAACAAGTTTTAATGATAGGCTTACAACTTATTAATAATATAATCAATTACCACGAGCAGTTAAGAATTCCTAACGCTTACCACCACAACACTCCCCAAGCACATTATTCAGTATATACATACCCTGTTGGATACGCGGGATCATAAATTTCACTCATTATATTCCAAATTTGATATCGAATCTTAGTAATAATTTACATGAAGGTTGTATTTTTTCCTTCAATCCATTCGTTTCAACGTTAAACTTCTTAATGTAACCCTAATACTTATTCTTACTAGAACTAGTAACAACCTTTAACGAGCGCGTGAAAAAGCCCTCTATTGGCGAGATTTATCATGTGTTATAAAATAAAATAAATATATTAAAAAGGCAGGTATTCATACATTAAAGTATCGTGTAAGGGTTGGTACTTAAGTTCTGTAAATTAATATACACAAATATAAAACATTTATGTAATACTCAATAATTATTAAATTCATTACTATATCAATCAAAAGACGCAGTGTGTGGGCCCATCGATAGTAAATAGCATAGCATAATAAAGCATAAAACGTAAGGATAGCAATGGACCTATTAGCCCATCTAGATTGTCCCATCCACTAAATTAACATATATATATATATGATTAAAGCAAACCCTTATCATTTGAATATTTGTGACACCTTCTCATAAACTCCCTTGAATTCCATCCACTATATCTGAAAGCAGCCCATCCCAAAAAAATCACGTTATTAGAAAAATAAAACTGTCTTAGCTGAAGATAACTCCAACCTTACAAAATTTATATATGTCACCTAGTCCTACCAATTTTCACCATTAAAGAAGAAAATCAATACGTGGACACTATCAATTCCTTTAACATTTTAAATACATCAAACAAATACTCTGTAACTCTTTTTATTTTCCAAAATAAAACAATTTCAGAGATCTAACCTGTCCTAGTAAAACTACCTTTTCATCCCATGTGTCATTTTAGTAGCTCTCATCCGAACCCATTCCAGTCAATAGTTTATGAGTTACAACCGATGTTTTATAAACTGTATATTTGTAGTGTTGTAATTTGTTTAATTTAGACGTTAGCTGTAGGACTCATGTCATTAAGATCAAGCAGCAAGTCCAGGAAATATCTGGAATAAGTGTTGAATTTAGATATAAGGTTCCGTGAAGTATCGAGAGTTTATTTAGAGAGTGAGTTGAAAGATAATTGAGTATATAATAAGCATATATTTTAAGATATAAAGTTGAATCAATTAATGTGTATTCTTGAAGTATTTGGATCTGTGTTTGTTTTCGCTCTAATCGAATTACATTATTTAGTGTCATTTGTAACATAGGCCTACAATAACTTACGGCGATATAAAGTGTTCAATCTTATGGCAACGTCAAAGGAAGAAATAAAGTAATTTATCGTTACGTGGAATAAACGTCGAATTATTTTAATCAAATAATTTTAAACGAACAACGTCACAATATTTCATGTCAGAAGTGTGGAAATATTTTGGTGAAAATAAAATAGAAATTGGACTAAACTTCAACTTTAATTCCATATGATAACAAGGGAACATAATGAGATAGAAAACCTGCTAGACATGATAAAGCAATAGAAAGAAGACCAAACAGAAAGAGACAGAACTCTTAAAGAAGAACAAAAAGAAGAGATAGAATTTTAAAGGGAAAAAGGAAGGACCGAAAAGAAACCAAAAGAAAGATATAGATTAAAAGAATGAGTGTGACAGGGATTTAAGAGAGGAATTAAAAGAAAAGGAAGTACTATTTAAAATACTTAAATTAAAAAATAAATCTGATTGAAGACAAGATCAATGAAGCTACTGAAGATGTACAGAGATATTACAACAGCAAACCTTTTTAGAAATGCAGAAGGACATCAAAAACGTACAGAAAAGGCTGAGATTATAAAATTGATGATGTATAAAAAGACATGAAAGAAATAAAGGAAGACAGCAATGAAGTAGGAAAGGGCATCAGTCACAGAATAAAACATCTAGGTAATCAATTACTAAGTTCAAAGATTAAACCAGCCACACCTCTTTCTGCATGACTCATGAGTTTCAGTCTGAAATGCCATCTGCTACAAAATATGGAATAGATGAGTTTATTTGGTTTATACCTATTACCAATAACGCTGTACCATCTGTTGCAGCAGGATCTTCCTAGATTACTCCACCCATGACAATACCAAAACAAATTTCAAAATTGACTGGCCAGTTCAACAATGCCCAAACGGGAAAACAAGGAACAATTTAAAAATAATTTACAAAATGATTTGTCTCTTTTCTATCAAATTACACATGGGCTGGTTCAGTTACTTTAGAATACAATTTGACAAAACGAATTATTCTTTCTGCTCTGTTATCACAATACAGACTGTGATAATTTCACTTTAAAAGCTCCACTATAACTGTTGACTACCGCAGTTGTATCCAGAGCTTTAAATAATTGTCTCTTTTTCATGAAAGTTCACACAGGCTTGTTAAATTACTTTAGAACACAATTGAAAAGACGAATTCTTCTTCTTTACTCTGTTATTACAATACAGTGTATGATAATTTCACTTTTAAAAATCGCTACTATACGCTCTTTATGGCTAAATGCACAATAACTTAGTCTATATCTATCTAACTCTCTATATGAAACTATATTTTGGATGTATATTTTGTTTGTTTGTTTTGAATTTCGCACAAAGCTACACAAGGGCAATCTGTGCTAGCCATCCCTAAATTAGCAATGAAAGACTAGAGGGAAGACACCTAGTCATCACCACCTACCACCAACTCTTTTACCAACGATTAGTGGGATTGACTATCACATTATAATGCCCCCAAGGCTGAAAGGGCGAGCATGTTTGGTGTGATGGGGATTCGAACCCACGACCCTCAAATTGCGAATCAAGCACCCTAACCACCTGGACATGTCGGGCCATTTCGACTAAAGGTGCTTAACACACGTCAGGTACAAAAGCAGCCACTGAGAACAACATCGCATATATTATGTATTTATAACTATGTAAATCGAATTTAAATGAAAAATAATTCACTTTAAAATAGGTTATATAATATACTTGTCTAGCTTTGGTGCAAAATACCTTGCCAATTTTACTGTAAGCTTGTGAAAAGATGTTTATTAGATATATACATATATACTTCTATAATGCTGCTCATTGGTTGAGAAGTTTTTTGTTGTTTTTTAAAGTTATCTGGTGAAAATAATTCAAACTCCAGTCCACTAGAATAACAAGTTAGTTTATTTCTTCCTAAATGTTTCTACAAGCTTGTACACTACACTAACAGCACTAAGACTAACGTAAAATATACACATTTGTACAATTTCACGACCAATCGATCAAATAACTGAATATACGTGATCACTGACATCAATTCAAATACTTCTCTGAATTAAACTGACTGACTTACACTCTACCAACTCAATACTCATTCACAGTTCACTATCCACTGAAAGCAAAATGCACTGATTCAATGTTTCACTGATTCTCGTATTAATAATCTACTCTCATCTCTCAATACTCTCTACATTTGTGACATCACATTTAGAGCTTTCAAGGCTTACTCACACAAAATTAGTTTATTTTAAAATCATGGGCTCTCTAGCTAACATCTGAATTAAAACACTGAAAATATAGCTTACAATATTGTACCCTTCCTTGATTTTGAAACCTCTTGAATAATCCTAACACAAAAATTAAACCCTACACTAAACTGTCCATTCACCAAGTTTATTTTTTTTTTAGATTTTCTCTTCAGGGGCCCATAGTTTACAGATGGGATTGCCCATGTTGTCATTGTGACTGCCCTGTCACCAGTGTTGAATTCAGGGGGAATTTCCCCAGTGAAACCCCCCTGAAATATTTTATTTATTTTTTTATTTTTTACAGATGTTATTTTTATAGAGAGACCTTGACGAATAAAAGTCGTGACTATTATTTCATTGAACACTGGACTCAATGGTTGTAGAAACGGAATAACACAAAATTCTGGCACTTCTCAAAGAAAGGCGTGGTTGACCTTGACATCTAGCCAATATGTATCGCGAGAAAGAGGGGCATGTATAAAATAATCTAGAATTATAGTAAGATTGTATAAGCTAAACATAGACTTATCACCGAACATACTTCAAATTTCTCGAACTGTGTAGACACTATTAAACATATGGACATTTCTAGAAAAAGCGATTCATGCTTTATAAGCCCATGTAGAAACTATTTATATAGTATGGTTTTTACAATATTTGATTGTTTTGTGCATTATTTAATGTTGTGATTAAACTTTGTGAATTGAACTTTTCTGTGGTGAAGTATGTTGCAGAATTCAATTCCAATGTTTGTTACAAAGAAATTTGGATTACAGGTAGTGAGTAGTGGTGCTGACACTGAGTCTCTGACTCAAACTGAACTTGAGCAGCCGAGTATTGGAACTAGTGATCTTAATTCGGAAACCCCTACTGTGGCGTGGCCAGGTTGTTAGGGTTTTTCACTCGCAAGCTGAGGGTCACGGATTCAAGTCCCCATCGCACCAAACATGCTCGCCCTTTCAGCACTGGGGGCGTTATAAGGTGACAGTCAATCCCACTATTCATTGGTAAAAGAGTAACTTAAGAGTTGGCAGTGGGTTGTGATGAATAGCTGCCTTCTCTCTAGTCTTACACTGCTAAATTAGGGATGGCTAGCGCAGATAATCCTCGTGTAGTTTTGTGCGAAATTCAAAACCAAAAAACAAACAAATCCTACAGTAAGATAGCATCTAACTTTCCTTTTGCTGTAATTTTATGTCTACTTGCTGTTTGCATTGATCACTCTTCTTATTTTTTATCTCTGGAGGCAATTCCCCATATTTCATTACTAAATTGGGTTTAGCTGTTGTAGCTGTAGAACCAGTGTCAATCAACATATTGCAAGGGTTTCCATCAATAAACCCATGGACTCATGGACGATTTTCTTCAAATAATGAACTTATTTTCTCATTTAGGATAGATGGAGTGTTTCCAGCTGAATTTCGCCAAATAAATCCAGTTAGTTCCTACCTTTTTTATGTCTGGTTGGCTCTTTGTTATTCCTTTGAATTTATTTGGCTCTGAGACACATTCTCACGGTATTATCTCTTTGGTTTAATAGCAGCTGTTGATTCTTAACAGTCTTAACTTTAATGGTCATTCCCACAATTAAAACAGTATATTATTTCTAGTATTTTCTAGTATTTTATTCCATACTGGCTTTACCTACAGTTCCTTGCAATATGTTCTATCAACTTACTCTTGAAATACTTATTT